TACTGTCTCAATCGGTAATGTGGAGTCAAAGTGCTATTGTTTTTATGGGAAACCAGGAATTTATGACCACAGCTTCAGGACGGTCTTCTTCGGCTGTTGATGGCATGATCACGGCCAGCAGAGGTAGCCCAGCAGTAGGGAAAGGGTGACGCTCTGGGAAGCAATTACCTGAAAGGTGCATTGATTCTGGAATTTTGGGGAGAGGAGGAACTGGACCCCTAAGGCTAGGCATCCTAGCCTAAAGGCAGGGAATGGAATGATACGGACTCACAAAGAGGCATAGAAATTTGAAAAAAGGGTCAGTGCCTCCCTGGGTGACCTTCTTAACGTCTCTAAGATTCTGTTTTCTCACCTAGGAAATGGGCAAGAGCAACCGCTAGCACGTACTGAGAGCGATGCTTTGACAATTAAATGAGCTAACGGGTGTACAGTTCTTTGGCACTTTACCTGCTAAGAGTCTGATATATGCTATTAATAATAACAGGAAGAGTGGGAAAGTGCAAAATCCTGCCGTTTCTTATGAGACTGCAAGAAGGCAATCAAGTTTATTTAAGCAGAGAGCTTTTGATAGACTGGAAAAGTAGGACAAGGGTTTGAGGAAGTGGATCCTGCAACATTCAAAAGCTGGGATGCAGGTCCTTCCTTCCCACTGCCCTGCTTCTCTTAGAAGAATCAAGCTTCTATTAACTGAAAGCCTAGTGCTTGCCGGGCTAAGTCACAATATACATGTGATCCCACTGAAACTTCATAACAAGTTTGCAAGGTGGGGACTTAGGGGTGATGGTGAAATCATTTAACAACCAATACCAGAGACTAGAGAGACCAGCCACAGAGCTGAAGTGGGGTCCTTGGGGCCCTGATAAGCACAGGTATTTGACCTCCTAGTTGTAGGATGTGAAAAGGGAGAATGGAGCTCCTAAAGGGCGATTTGAGGGGCCAGAGCATCTGGAGTCTACAGAGGGACACAAGACAGTGGTTACTTCCCTAGTGACATGGATACATTACAGGACATACCTGCTGGGTACCGGTTGTGCCCCTTGTAAAGGTGAGAAAAGAAGAGACTGGGGTCACAAGACTGCAAGGGACAAAGTTGGGATATGAGTCAAGTCTGTTTGGGTTCCAATGTCAAAGCGATCTTTCTCTCTAAGGTATTGATATTTTATCTGTGTCCGCATCCTATTTTTATGTGCCTATATTTTTGCGCTGCATTTTTATATTTCTCAAGGTGTCGCCATCTGATCCGTACCTCATCCCCTTTGATGTAATCATCAGAACAGGTACTAGGTAGGCCCATTTAGCAGATGCAGAAATTAAGGCACAGAGGGGGAAGGCATGGGTGTGACCCTCAGTGGTGGAGGCAGAGCCAGGGCTGGGAGCCATGTCTGTGACCTCCCCGCCAGGACCCCTTTCGATAAAGAGGCCGATACCTTTCTTGGCTTGTTTCTTGGTGGTCTTGCGGCTTGTGTTGGAAACCCCTGGAATGGACTTTATTTCACTCTTGCTGACGGGGGGTGGGTGGAGGGCCAGCTTTGGTGGCCTGGTGAGACACACAGGCAGCCCTGCCGCACTCATGAGGATCCCGGTGATTCCTGGAAGGGCAAGAGCATGAGAGAAGAAGGACTGGAGAGTCAGCCCCCCAACCCCCCCCAGTAACCTCCTCGCCTCCTTTCCACCAGCATTCTCATAACTCATGGATTCTCTACACAGCCTCTACTTTTCTTGGAAACGTATCCATTCCCTTATTTTCAACAGCAAGCTTTGCTTTTCACGATCAATTCTGCCCAAACTCTTCCTGCCCGTCCAACCCAACTCCTCACATCCTCGTTTGTCTTAATCAACATCCGAATTCTCTCTCTTTTTACAAATGCTCACTGTACCTATTTCATTGCTTTTGTTTTTCTACCTTCAGCCGGGGGCTTCTCTTACCTGCCAAGGCCGGGTTGACAGGACTGGATCCACTTAGGTTCTTCACTGGGACAGTGGGGACCCTGAAAAAGGAGAGAACAGACACATCATGCTTTTGACAAGTGGGACAAAATGGGCCAGTGGTGGGGACCCCAAAACTTCACCCACTGAGGGGTTCCCCTTTCTTACAGGAACTACTTATTCCTACTAAAGATGCAGTAAGTTCTTAGCCCCTCAGCCAGAGCTGATACCTTCAAACCTTGTCAGTCCACTCCACAGAACCTCAAAACTCAGAATGGCCCCGCAGTTCCCTCAGAGTCCCAGGAAGGCCCACGCAGCCCTGCCTGAGCTGCCAAAATCCCCCACCCCAGTCCCCCCAGCTCTCTGGCCTCTCCTCAAGTCACTCGCCTCTTTACTGCACTCTAGCTGTTCCTCCTACTGGCCAAGAACGTTCCTGCCTCAGAGCCTTTGCATAGGCTGTTCCCTCTGCCTGAAATGCTGTTCCACCTGACAGCTACTTGGTTCCCTCCTACAACTTCTTCAGCCTTGGCTCAAATGTTCCCTTCTCAGTGATGTTCCTGAGGCCATCTTATTTAATACTGCTACCCACCCCTCCATCCCACCCTGAGACTCCCCCCACAACAAGCCCTCTTACCCTGGTCTTTTTTTTTTTTTTTTTGGCCACGTCCCATGGTTTGTGGGATATTAGTTCCCCAACCGGGGATTGAACCTGGGCCCAGGGCAGTGAAAGTGCTGAGTCCTCACCAGTGGACCGCCAGGGAATTCCCACGTATGATCTTTGAAAATAAGTTGTTGCTTCTTATCTTCCCTCCTAAAATCTAAGCTCTACCAGGGCAAATATCTTTGTCTGTTTCACTCAGAGCCTGACACTAGTAGGCATTCAACAAATATTGGTTGAAGAAATGAAAAAAACATAAAGAAGCAAGTTCAAACTTGGGTATATAGTCACCTCAGAAGCTTTTGAAAAGACAAAGCCCCTTGCCTGCGTCAGAAGCTCTACCTGTGGGCCAGGAGAATCTGCATTTTGACAAGCTCCTGCCGAGAGGATGCAGAGGCAGCCGATCCCTAGTCTAACATTTGGAAACCATTGCTCTAACAGCTGTCACTTCTCCTTTTCCCTGAGAAGCATAAATCAGGCAGGGCCTCCTCCCTTTTCTGTCCTTCTCCCCAGCAACTTGAGCCAGGATGGAGAGAAGACAGCACAGCTGCCTGGGAAAGTTGAGGCCTCCCACGGTGCTGAATGGAAAAATATGAGACACACGGGGCTAGGTCTTGCACCATCCCCTTGTCACCCAGGCCTCCACAGCTGGGCTTGGAAGGGGATGTGGGCTTGGAGATGGACTGGGTCAGCGACGACTCCAGGAACCAGAGTTTCTGCTATGGGGGTAGGGTGGTGCTGGGAAAGTAGGGGGAGGGGAAAAAGCACTTGTTTATTTGTTATTAATTTATTTGTCCATTCATACTGAGCCCACTTTGTGTTGGATACTCTGCTGTATGCCAGGGACACAGCAGTGAACAAGACAGCCCACAGCCCTTCAACCCTGTGTTAAAATCGCTAACAAGAGTAGAGTCAGGCACTTAATCCCAGGCACCGTTCTACCTGCTCACAGTATATACATCCATCTGACCCTTCCAACAACCTATGCAAGAGGTGTTATTATTATTAACTCCGTTTTAATAGGCAGGGAAGGTGAGATACAGAGAGGTTAAGCAAACTTGACGAAGGTCACACGGCGAAGGATTTGAACCCGGGAAATCTGTCTCTGGAGCCCATTGTTTTAGCCACTCACTAGGCTGTGCTCTTGTGTCTGTGTAATCCTCATCACACCCCATGCTGCAGACAGAAAACACGAAGCTTCAGGTTTAAGGAATGAACCCACAACTCAGAGGGGAGGTTGGAATGTCACCTCAAGGCTGAGCCCCTGGGTCTGTCTGTCCCCCACGTGCCCAGAAGGATGGGTGCTTGCCTGGCCACGCTGAGTCTTCTGGGGTCTCTGTCCCTTCCCAGGGATGATGACGTGTGCACCAGGGCTGTGAGAAGGATGTGGAAGTAACAAATGTGGGTGTGTTTGTGTCTCAACAGGCCCCCAAAGGCTACTTGTCCTCAGAAACTGTCCCCAGGATAAGTCAAATCCCGATGGGACGAGGTGAAAGCTGAATTCAACACAAAAGAAAGACACCAAGAAAAAGAGGCACAGACTTGATTCCGGACTCTGTAACCTGCCCCACAGGGCCAGGCATGGTATAGCGGATGGGGGGTCAGGGAAATCAGCTTAAAGACCCAGTCCTGCCAGTAACAATGTCCATCAGCTTTTCTGAGCCTCAATTTCCCTGTCTGTAAAACTGTGAAAGTCTTGGGTTAGAAGCTGCCGAGGAGACTTCCTGATGACTTCCCACCCCAGTACCTGGGGACCCAAGGTGCAGTCTCTGCCCTGGGTCCCCCACCTGGGGCCGATTCTCCGCCCGCCTCTCTCTGGGGAGGGGGGGTGGGCAGGGTCCCTCCTCTGTGCCTGGATCCACACCAGGGGGCAGTGGGCGCCACCCAGCCCAGCACCTGCCTTCCCCCCTCACCATCTCCAAGGCCCCCCCTTCAGCTGATAAGTAGCTGTGATCTGGGTGACAAAAGCCACCTTTGTTCCCACAAACTGGACTGGCAGGTTTCCACACCCAACCTGGTTAACCAGGAAATAGTCCAATCCCCAGAGCGCACATCCCGGGCAGCCCGAGAACTCAGCGCTGGGGGCAAGGTCTGGGGAGAGGGAGGGTGTGCTGGTGAATACTGTGGAACAGGTGGGTGTCCCTGCCACGCCAGGACAGGGACAACATGGCGGAAGGGCTTGTCAGGAGGCTCTGGATGGTGGCAGCAGGGCTTGGGGAAGAGGGGATATTTGCTTATGAAATACAGAAGGGTCCAGCGGAAGGGGCCCTGCAAGGGGGTCAGGATATCTGCTTCTAGCCCAGCTCTGCACCGACTTTGTGCCTTTGGGAGTACCGCGCAGCCTCTCTGCCATTCAGGACTGCCTCCGAGTTACCACGCAGTAAACAGGGCACCCTAAATCCCTGTCCCTGGGTTCCCAGGGAGGGAGGATTTAGGATCCAGGTCGAATACTTTGTAAATAGTCAAGCCCTATGCAAATTTGGGTGACTGTTTACATTTTTTGGTTCCCAAAGGTAAGAGGAAGTTGGGCTTGATAGAAAGCCTTTTCCTGCTTAATATTCCAATTTTCTCAGATTCTTGAGGATGTCAGGTGTAAAGTGTTAATACAAAGTTGAGTGCTGGGCAGATCGTTGGGCTGGCAACACTTGACCACCCTTCCCTCACCGTTCTTCATTAAAATGAAAACCAAGGAGAACAGCCTGTATGGTCCACACCGGGCACACCCTGTCGGGGCCCCCAGGGTTACAGGTGCCTGAGTCCTTTTCCTAGAGGTCAGTAACCCAAAGGCAGGTGAGCATTCACATCCTCCAGGCAGCTCAGCTCAGCAAAAGCTGCCTGAACCAACTACTCGTTGGCCAATCAGCAGACACCCCCTGCCCCCGTGCCGTGGGGAAGTTCCCAGTTATGGAGAGTGCACGTTTTAATTTCTGTCTCTAACATACAAAACTAAGAAAAGAGACGAGCTGGCAAGGTGGCAGGGGAAGAGGGGGTTGATGAGGGGAGAATAGCTCCGCAGATACCATGGTGAGAAGTGTTTTTCTGGGAGTTACGAGCCAACCCAGGAATCCTCGGCGGAACAATGGTCTTGTCTCTCCAGCAACTGAGGTCTCGCTGGAGATAGAGAAGCCTCCATTCTGGAAAAGACGGCCAGAGGGGCGACTCCCGCCCCCCTCAGCACAGCCCTCCTCTCTCCTCTTTAGAAACCCCCTGCTTGTGTCTCTGAATAATTCACAGGATCTTTTGTTCCCCCCAAACCCTTCTCTCCATCCCACCTCTCCCGCCCTCCCTGGTCTTCCTTTTTTCCGTGGGAAAGTTACTGGAAGAGGTCATGGGCAGAGAGGGGAGGGGGAAGGGGCCGTTGGACGACAGAAGGTCGATGGCAACGGCAGACAAAGGGAATAAACACGCTAATTAAATGGCCAAGAAAGACTGGAGGAGAAGATGGTAGTGGGGGTGAGGGAGGTGGTAAGAGGTGAAAAGGAGAGGGCTGGAAGACAGAGAGGGTAGGGAGGGGCCTCCCTTGTCAGGAAAACAGAGCAGAGAAAAAAACAACTTGTTTCTATAGCCCTTTTGAAATTGCACTGCCCAGACCTCCGCCCCAATTCTGCTGCTCGGATTCTATTGGCAGGCAGATACTCGAGCAGAGAGATAAAGAGCTGACGAATCCTTCATTGACATTTAAAGCGATCTGGGGTTCCCCTCCCTCAAGTACGGCATGGGGTCACTTGGCTTTTGTGTAGGGCGCCAGAAATGAAGTAGGGTGTTAGATTCGACTCAGTAACTACAGGGCGCATAGATACTGTTCGTAATAGTAATAGCAGCTAATACTGAAAAGACTCTTATTATGCGCCAAGCACTGTAGTAATTCCACACTGGGTATTTCATTTAGTCCTCATGACAAACCCTGTAAGCAAGGTACCATTCCTATCCCCATTTTACAGATGAGTAAACTGAAGATAGAGGATGCAAAACTTGCCCCAAGTTACACAGCCAGAAACTTGGGTTCCAGCCCAGCCAGTCAGATTCTAAAGACTGTGTTCTTACCCACTATAGGAGCCTCCCTCTGCCATGCCAGCAGTTGCCCTGGAACTCCGTTAGGGGCCCTGGGATGCTGCTGTACGCCAGTGTGGAGAAACTGAGCAGCGGCATCGTGCGGGTACCCCTTCCCCTCTGCCAAATACCTCTGCAGGCTCAGAGGAAGTCATGAAAACCCCAGGCATCTGACTAGCATCTGACCATTTATAATAAATTGCCTTTGAATACAACGAGGAGCTGGGCTTTGGCCAAAAGAGCGGCAGACTAGGAGACGAAAATCTAGGTTCCAGCTCCCGCTCTGTAACACGTGGGCTGTGCCTCTCTCCTTGGGGAGTTAATTCCTAGCTGAGTGCCCATGCCTGACACTTGCATCACGGTGTAAGGTCATGAGTTAATGCCGGCGAGCGCGTCGGGTCAGCTGTTAAGGGGTGACTGCTCTTAGCTGAGGTTTTGACACTGACTCCATGGGGTAGGCAAGGCAAGCATGATGATCCCCATTCCACACAGGGGGAACGTGGACCTTGCAAAGATTCCACGCCTCACCCAGTGGCAGAGGCAGGAGTAAAGGCCCGGCCTCACGGTCTGCAAGCTACCCTCCTTCCTGTCTCCTCCCGGCGCTTAGCTTCTACGTGCAGAGATCTTCCTCTGGGCAGCCTGAACTTCACACTCTTGGGTCCAACCTACCTCTGAACCATGCCGAATGTCTGGGACTTGGGTGGCAGGCAGGGCCAGGCTCCTCCAGAGAAAGGGAAGATTGGACAGATATAAGAGGCCAATCTCACAAGAAATCAGGGGCTGGCAGGCAAAGGCTACGGGTACCACGTGGACCTGCGTCTCTCCCATTTTATGATCAGGAAGGCCAAGAGGATGATAAAAAGCAGTTATAACAGAACCTACAACATCCCCAAGTTGTCACAGGAACGACTGAGACGGTGCATGGGAACTGCCTGGGAGGTAGTAAGTACTCATTAAACACGGGCTGTTATTCCAGTCTGGAGGCACCAGAGGAAAGGGACTAACCCTCACCTGGCACCTGCTGTGTGCTGGACACCGTGGTATGTGATTGACAGGGAAGCAGCATGGCTGAGTGGGGAAGAGTCTGGGCTCAGATCTCCTGCAGTCTGAATCCCGTTCTCTACTGATGATTAGGTATGTGCCCTGGAGCGAGTGAAACTCTCATGTCTTCAAGGGTAAAATGGGATCAAAAATGCCTACTCCAGGGGCTTCCCTGGTGGCGCCGTGGTTGAGAGTCCGCCTACTGATGCAGGGGACACGGGTTTGTGCCCCAGTTCGGGAAGATTCCCATATGCTGCAGAGCGGCTGGGCCCGTGAGCCATGGCCGCTGACCCTGCGCGTCCGGAGCCTGTGCTCCGCAACGAGAGAGGCCACAACAGTGAGAGGCGCGCGTACCGTAAAAAAAAAAAAAAAAAAAAAAAAAAGCCTACTCCATAGACTTGTTGTAAGGATTAAGTAAAGTGATGAAGTCCCCAAACTAGAACGTGGTGGGAGCCCCTGAATGTTGCCTGCTGTCTCTCGGTAGGCATCACCTCCTGTAATGCTCACTGCAACCCTAACATGAAGATTACGGCCAGCATTTACAGATGAGGAAGCTGGGGCTCTGCGAGGTTAGGGCTCCGCCCCTATCACAGGGCTAGGAAGAGGCAAGGTCTCCATTAGAATCCAGATCTGCTGGATCCCAAAGGCCACATCCTTGCTTACCCACCACACCGTGCTGCCTTCCACCTGCAGCCAGGGGGCCAGGTGAAGACGAGGAGGACCTTAAGCCTCGGCAGCCCTTCCTTCATCTCTGACCCGGATGATCAGTGACGTCTGATGCCCCTGGTCAGTTGACGCTCAGAGGCAGCCATGGAAGCACCTACCCGGAGGCGATCAGCACCCGGGACTGGGCGATGGCCAGTCGCTGCACGTTGGTCCGATTCAAGGTCGCCAGGGCCACCCTTCCGGTCTTGCCATTGGCTCCCGGGGGGCTAGCAGGGGAGACCGCATTCGCCCCTGCCGGCGTGCTGGAGGCTTGTCGCCGGATCCCCTGCGATGGGACCATCTTCACCGGGCCTCGAATGGTGCCCGTGCTGTCCAGTGGCTTGGCCCCGGGGCCTGGTGGGGGAGGCATCTTGACCACTCCAGACTCGGGCATGTGCTTGCGGGCAGCCGGGGGCTGCAGGGGTCCGGCGCTCCCATTGGCCACCGCGGCCTTGACGCTCATCACCAGGACGCACTGCGGGCAGGAGCAGGGCGCGGCGGGCGGCGCGGCGGCAGGCCCGGGGCTGGCCGGCCAGGACTGGGGCTTGGGCAAGGTGCCAGTGACCATGGGGTAGATAAGATCCAGCCGCCGGCGGACGCGGCGCTGGCGCTGGGTCTGCCGGTTGATCTGGCCCATGGTGCTGAAATCAATGACGTAGCTGAAGCCGATGGAAGTGAGGTCGATCCAGGGGTGCTGCTTCTCGTAGGCGTGCTGGATGGTGATGCCCACTTCCATGTCGTAGGGCGTCCAAGAACCATTGTCGTTCTCCCACTCCCACACCACGCCCTTCCCAGGGGCCGAGGTCGGGTCGTAGTAGTTGCGGCGAACCGGACGGAGGGTCCCTGCCAGAGTGGGACAGAGGAGAGGATCAGGGTCACCAAGGGATGAAACGGAATCGTGTTACGTTAATAGGCAGACATTAAACGAGTCCTACAGTGTGCCGGCACTGGGCTGCCTGTTGAGATATCAGCTTTGAATGAGGCTCATGCCTGCCCTTTTGAAGTCCAGCAGTCACGTGGGGGTGGAAGCAGATGAATTACACGGGGAAGGATGTGGGAGATAGTACAGGGTACCAGAAAGAGCACTTCCTGGTTTGGAGTCGGGAGACCTTAGTTTGCAGGCAAATTGGATCACTTAATATAACACCCCACAACCTTCTTTTCTCCCCCAAGAAACAAGATGATAACTCCTTTGCTGAGTTTTTGTAAAATTAAATGTGGCTCACTCAATCAACGAATATGCATTTGTCTGTGGCAGGACCTGGATTTCTCACGCGCCCTGTACTCTGCAATAAGGTATATAAAGCCCTTGACACGTGCTAGGTGCTCAGAAACATCATTTCCCTTCTTCCTTGATTCTCCACATGCCTCAGCCCCGAAGGCTACAGGGGAAATGAACACAGGGTCATGGGACCCTAGAGGACAGAGGAAGACTCTGCCCCCAGCCCAGGAAGGCTGCCCAGGGCTGGGGGCGATGGCTGGCTCTCTGGACTTCTTTGGGTGTGGTTAAAAAAAAATAAAAGGTCAGGTTGGAAGAACTCTCTCATACTTCCCAGCATTAAGTCTTATATCAACAATTGCAAGAGTGATCGCAAGAATAACTTTCTATTTATCTAACGTCTTCCCCCCCCCCCCGCCCCCGGCCCCGAGAAGCTCAACCCTCCTAAAGAGAGGAGAGTCTCAATTTCGATAGTCTCACAGTGGGTGGGATGGGGGGTGGTGAGGGCAGGGAGGAGATGAGGGTTTGTTGCAGGGGAATAGGACAGCAGAAATGAACCTGCAGGACTGTCAGGGAAAACTACACCTGTAACTGTTGCCTCTTTCTCCTCTATCTACCGGAACCTTGAATTCAGATCCATGCCCGACCAGGGCTCATTTCGTGGATATTAACATCAAGGCTGAAGATGCCTGGTTCAAGGCCGGGTAGGGAGACTGGGGAGAGCTCCAAGGATGCTGGAATCTCTGCATCCGTCAGCTTAAGCTCTATCCATCAAAGTGGTGGGAAAAGGCTCCCCTTCCCTGGCCTCTGACCCACCCCCTCCTCCAACCCAGAGGGAGACACCAAGACTGGGGACAGAATCTCATTCAAGGGGGGAAGAAAAGGAACAATGACTATTCAGGCCTTTGCCAGGTCATAACCCCCCCCCCCCCGCCCCCATCTCCAAGCCCCTTAATGACCCAAAACATCAACATTCAGAAGCAGGAGGGAGAAGCAGAACAATCCCTTCCCTATTCAGCGCCAGGAGGTCTGCTGGATGTGGGGGGAGTGGGAGAGCAGGAGGAACGGGGTGGCCAGTAGGCCCCTGGTTTGCCGCCATTTCCTTCCTAAGGCGCCAGCTTGCTGGGGGACAAACAGCGCAACCTTTGGATCCAACAGCAGAGTTTCCGTCCCTTCCAGCTGTGTGATTAAGCCTTAGTTTCCTCATCTGTTTGGGTCCTGGGTAGCTTCTTCAAAGGGTGGATTTGAGGATTAAATGCAGGAATGAATATAAATGCTAAGATAATACCTGTCGCTTGGCAAGGGCGCAATAAAAGTTGGTGATTATTATTGTAATTCATCTTCTATTGTATGTCTTAGCAGGATGGAGAAGTCACGGGGAAAGTTTAGTCCAGGGGATGTGAAATGTGTGTGTATGTGTGTGTGTGTGTGAGAGACAGAGACAGAGACAGAGACAGAGAGAGAAGAGGAGGACCAGAGAGAGAGTTTAAACTCCCTCTTTGCACAATCTTTGTTACTTAGAAAACACCTTCAGCTATCCTATCTCATTTGATCTCCCTGGCAATCCTGTGAAACAATGTTTAAAGATGAGGACATTAAGTTTAGAGAGCTTAAATGACACTATTTTATTCTCTCTCCAGGGTAGCAGGGACAAACAATGCCCTTGACCAATTCTCATAAATGTGCTTAAAAGGCATTTTTCACAAGGGTGGTGTCAGTCCCAGCTATGCCTGGGAGTTGCCCCAGAACTTCTGGAAACTCTGCCCTGCCTCTTTCCAGGTGTATCCTCCTCTCTGCCCTGGACAGATGCCCCCTTTTCCTCCTGAACTCCCTCAGTGTTCCCTGACTCTCCGCTGCCCCTGCTATTCACCAGGTCCCGTCTATCAAAATGCCCTCCTTTGCTGCTTTGATCTACTGAAACTTTCCTTATCGTTCAGGTCCTATGCCACTTGCCATCCATTTCTTGAAATGTCCGGGCTCCATCTTCAAGGAGTCTGGGGTGCACAGCTGCTTATGTCTGATGGGTACAAGCATCTTGGCACTTTTCATATCAGTGCCTAACGCAGAGTCGGCAGTAACGAGGGCGCCACAGACGTGCTGTGATGGGATGAGGACTTCTGGCTACGTTGGCATTTGATCATCTAGCCCACATTGCTGAGTATGCGTTAGCTGCTGTGGGGAATGCAGATTCACGCACTCCTGAAGCACCTCCCAGTCTAAAACAAGACAAGTGCCTAGTTATGAGACACGCCACCAAAAAGGGTGTCAACAAATGCAACGCTAGCAGAAAATGTAACCACAACCCCACCGTGCTTCGATCCCTTCCATGACTTCCTCGTAGGTCAAGACCAAGATGCTCTCCACCCACAACCTCTGTGGTCTCCTCGAATCCTAACACACTCTTCCCACATTTCTGCCCCACTGGCCTCCTGCAGACTCTCGCCACTGCCTCTTCTCCTCTCTGGGCTGCTTCACAATCTTGGTCCCTCCCCTCACATACTCTGGCATCCTCCTGGCTACCCATCCTTCAGATTTCAGCTCACTTCCTCGAGGAAAGCTCTCTGGGTTGTCCGACCAGGTAAAACTCCTGCTCCTATATTTTGCACTGTCCTGAGGTGCAGTTACACATTTATTTGTGTGATTCATTTGATGAATGTCCACCTACCTCATGGGACTCCCAATCTCATGAGGGGGGGCATCCAGGAGTTTGCTTATGGCTGTAGCCCCCATGCCTAGCATGTCCTGAGGGCTCAATAAATATCCACTGAAGAAAGGAAGTAATCATAATTTGGAGAGCATTTCAAGAAATGGAGAGCATAACAGAGAACATAGGGCCTGAATGAGGAGAACCTCAACAGGTGAAAACGATGAAGAAGGGCATCTCAGGAGAAGGGACCTTGTGAATAGTTGGCGGGAGGGTGTCTAAGGGAATGCCTGAGAATAAAAGGCACATCTGTTTGGCGGGAGTAGAGGAAAATATGGGCATACAGGAAGATAAACTTGGAAAGGTACGTGAGAGCCAGGGCGTAGATGGTCTGGACTGCTAGGCTATGAGGGCTTTTATGTACAGGCCACGAGGAACCAGTGAGGTTTGTGACACAGAGAAGTGATGACACCAGAGCTGCTCCGTTTATTAGTTCCAAATGAGAAGTAATGGGGGGGGGGAAGGGGGAGGTTGCTGGCAGCAAAAATGAAAAGCAGGTGATAGACCAGAGGGACCCTACGTAATGGGTAGGACCTGACCACAAGTAGCTGAATGCATTCCAAGTGATCCAGGATCACGTGCTTTCGAATCTCCTGGGGAACAGATCAGCAACACCCTCCAGACCTGAGGGCCGGCATCCCTGGGAGCTGGGCCCGGGAATCTGCACGTGAACAACTGCAGAGTGTTCATCGCGAATGCTCAAGTTTCAGCTTCCACATGCCTGTATATGTGGGGCATCCAAAAAGAATGACGAGACGAGTCAAAGACCCCTGAGGCTTTGACCACGGGCGAGCGGTAAGGTAGTGACGCCATTTAACAAGAAGAGGGGTGTCACAAGGAAGAGCTGATTTTTGGAAGGAAAGATGCTGCGTTCAGTTCAGCCCTAGAGGGTTAGTTAAAAACAGAAGGCAGACCTCAGCACGAAAGTCGTGGGACAAGAGAGATGGTGGGATTACATTCTCTGATTATTCTGAGATCACTCCAGGACTGACATGGGCGAGTCCTGGACCTTTCTATAATCAGAACCCTGAATTAGATGATCTGAGGAAATCCACTGGGTCCTAAGGTGCAGTGTGACCCAAGGACAAGGCTTCTAATGGCACAGGGATAAAGGATTTCACAGACTAAGGAGGAAGAAAGAGGAAAAAACTTCTTCCAGCAACTCAGACACATACATCCCAAAGCACCCAAGTTGTTCTGGCTCCTGGGAAATGACAGACAACTCCTTTCAGGCATGACCCTAGGACTCCAGGGCATGTCACCCACGTCCATACAGCACTGTGCTCCTGTACCCAGGAAATCCCAGGCCTCTCTTACCAGCTCCCCTCACCCTCACTAGAATGTTCCATGAGGGCAAAGACTTGGGTGGTTTGCTATCGCTATATCCCACAAGCCTGGAACAGTGCCTGCAAGAAGTAGGTAGTCCTCCAAATGAAGGAGGACATGGGCACTTGGTTCAGAATCTCAGCTCTGCCGTGGACTAGCTGTAAAACTTTGAGCAACTTCATCTTTTTCAACTTGTTTCCTTTCCTATGAAGTGAGAACAATGGGTCCTTCATAAGATGGCCGAGGATGAAACCAGATGATGTGTGCAATGTGCTTGGTGCCTCCCTCATACTGGAGCTATCACGTGGTCGTGACATTTGCTCCCACCACTCTTGTGCTCGCACAGGGTGGGGAGTATAGTTGGGGGGGGCACTAAAAATCAGCTTCTATCAAACCCTTGAATCACTCTCCATCTGACTCTCGTCACTGCGTTAAAGACATAAAAGAGGCAAAAGTTGCACAGAAAACTGAGCTGGAAAGAACCCTCCCTCATAGCATGTTACTTCTAATTAGCGTCATCACTGGCGCAGAGTCCAAGAGTTCAGAGTTCAGAGTCCAGAGTTCACCTGCCGATGTGCATGATGGGAGGAAAGGAAACAGAAGGAACCTTAAGGCTGCTCTTCATTCTACGAGGGAGAATGAGGCCTGAGCAGCCGAGGCACTTGCTGAAGGCCACAGAGTAAGCCAGTGGGTCTGGAATGAGACCCTGAGTCACGTCTCCCACTGCCAGCCCAGATCCTCCCCCATCCTGCTGCCAGGCCCTGAAAATGGCAATGATCAGGTATGTTGGAAGATACAGAACACAGGGATGTTGGATGTTACAGGGGACAGAGCTCCAGCCACTGCCCTACAACAGAAAAAGGTCAGCCCAGTCCAGGTGAATGATCGTGGGTGGAGAGGACCCAACAGAGGTTTTTCGAAGCAGCCAAGACTCCTTCACCTCTATCTAGCCCTGTCTCTTCCCTTCTTCCCCATTCTCTAGCCCCAAATGCCTAGAGGAGACCAGCATAGAATGCAAATAAGCGCAGACTCAGAGCCGGTCTGGGGAAGGAGAAGGGTCCAGGACAGACAGAGGTGGGCAGGGGGTATCTGCAACCTCCCAGCCATCTCCCTGGAGACAGACTGGATGAGGTCGGAACCCAGGGGAGTGGAGAGTCTGAGGACTTCCTTGGCAGCAGGGCAGGCAACTTCTGAAAAAACACAGCTCCCATGTCAGGAAATGTCCCCACACAGAGGAGGCAACAACAAAAAGAGAGAGGAATCGCCTCTGGGCAGGGGACTTCCAGCTCTCCTTTGTTTATGGGGATGTTTCTGGTTCCCAGCTTCAAACTGTGGCTTGGGGATGGTGGGTAATTTAATTAAACGTTGCCAGGGCTTGGCGGAGGTTGCCTGGGAGCCGGTGGCTTACAGTTCCTACCCTGTCACGGCTTCATCAATGAGCTATATTGAGAGGAACTGTGTGTCTGTTGATGGAGAAGACAGAGGAGGGGGGCTGTGAGCCCAGAAACCCAGAGATTCTATTCTGCTTTGACAAGCTCCCCGACAGACCCAGCAGTCCTGGGAATTCAGCCCAGTGCCTTCTCACCCAGCGCACCCAGCGCGGGGCCTGGCGCTGAGGATGGAGGCTCTCAGCCCACGTTGGCCGATGAACCAGTAGAATGAGTGGATGACACCAAAGCAGTCTGAATCCCTCAGAGACAGACAAAAAATGTAAAACACACCCTGAGGCAGTTCGAAAAATGATCCAGGGCCAGGTCGGGTCTAAAATCTGAGGAGCTCCAGCCTCCGACTTAACTGTGAACCACCAGGCAGTGGGCAGCCTGTCCTCAGGGAAGGGTGGTCAGACCTGGGGGAAGTAGCAACTGTCCTTCAATCCAGTTTCCTCCAGAACTTCATTTCTGTAGTAAGAGCCCTTCAGGCCACGACCCTTCCTAGGAACCACGCCCATCTCAGACATCCCTAAACACTGATGAAACTTTCCCCCTTCTCAAATGTGGGACAAGGCCTGGGACCTTTATGTCACCAAGACGTCTCTCCATCCGCTGCTGAGACTTAGTCTGAAATAGAAAAGCTAACACCTGCCCATCTATTCTGAGCAGGATTGGAGTCCCCTGTCAGGTAGGTGTCTTGACTGTCAGACTCTCTGACCCCACCTACAGGGCTAGCTTCCCCCTCCCCACAGTCTGATGCCTCCACCCTCCCCCCTCGGACTTCTGTCCAAAGTACACAGTTACCTTCTCCCCCCTCCCCCTTGGCCACACTTAATCCTCTTTCTCGACCTCCCCACATTCCTCCTTATTCCCTCTTCCTCCCAGTCCCTCTCAGCTCCAGCTCCCTCCCTTTCCCACCAAGGTTTAAGCCCCTCCAGATGCTAACGCTTCTGGAATCCTTTCCCCAGCAAGCTTCACTCAGTCGGTCGGTGTCTACAAAGTCCTTGGCAAAGAGGTTGTTAGGAGTTATGACTAAAGATGAGGACACGAGGGTGGAAAGATACCCCTTTCCCATGACAATCCTAATTAGCGCACAGGATGCGGGGGCTTTCCAAGGAGGCGGAGATGCCTTTGCTCACACAGCTGTTCTCTGACCCTCTGGGACTCACCCGGTCCTCCCCTCCCGTCCCTCCCTTCCACACCTGTCTCTCCAGGCTCCTGGGTCACACTCTCGGGAGAGCCGAGCCAGAATCCCCAAAACGACTGCCCACCTCCGTGAAGAGGCTACTGGAGAGACAGACCTGTCCCAGGTAAATTAAGCCTGGGCACCATGCGTGGGCCACGCAAAAGATGCAGCCCCCCCTCTGCCCCTCACGTCAAGGACCCGCCACCCTGACCTCCAACCTGCAGGCTCTCTTCTTGGCTCTGACCTGGAAAGGCTGGCCAGCTGGGATGTGGGATTTGCGGTGGCCACAGTGGCAACTTGATTCTCACAAAAAGATAGGAGTTTAGTGTCCCCCATAGGGGACCTTTACGGGGCGAATCTTGGGGACAGTTTCTTTTTAGGAATTCTTCTCCTCCAAGGACAAAGCGATCAGCTTCCCAGCCAGGCATTCCGGAGCTGTGTCCCTCCCCCGCCTCCCTCCATCTGCTCTGGCCTGTTGCTTCAACGCTTGGAGTGCCCAAGCAGAGGCACTCACCAATGCCACAGCAACCCAGGCGTTTCCTGCCCTGGAATCCCCCAAGTCCACCTCTGTTCCCAGAAAGGCCCCTCCCTGCCCACTAGACCACAGTGAAAGCCTCCCGGGAATCCCTTCTTCCTCCCCCCCAGGATGCAGCTGTGGGAAGCCATCCCACCCCGGAGGGGTAGAGGCAGCAAGGTGGTTGACCAGGGGAACATGTGGCAGGCCCAAGGGTGCCTGAGGCACGGTAGGGTCAGTCAGCCAAGGTGATGTGTGAGGAATGAGAGCAGCAAGCCTTTCCTATCAGCTGGGATTGCTTGTGGGCTGGTGAGCCCCGGAATTTCTACAAGAGCCACCAAGCGTTTCAAAGGGGGGCGTGAAAGGGGGTTTTTAGGAGCTAGGTTGAAGCTCGGTTTGCATAACCAAACCACGGGTACTATTTGCATGGACGTTTATTGCAGGGGGTATCTTAAGAGCATCGTGGGGCGTCAAGCGCCCCCTCCACGACCCCCTCTCGGTGACACCAGTGTATGGAGATGCGGACAAAGGTGGGCCCCGGTGGGCTCGCGACGTGGGAGACCTCAGGGCAGGCAGGGGAGGAGGCGCGGGCGGGGCAGGGGTGGCCGGCTCACCGGTGTCCTGGCGAAACTGGTTCATGGACTGCAGGTCGATGATGTAGGGCGCGAGACGGCTGTCCACCTGGCCCAGCACCACGCTGCCCCCGGCGCGGGGGCCGGCGCGAACCACCGCCTCGATGTGGTGGCTCACGGCCGGGCTGTAGGGACGCCAGCGGCCGTGCTCGTTCAGCCATTCCCAGACCACCACGGCCGAGGCCAGGAGCATGGCGAGCCCGGGGCTGCGGCGGCGGCGGCGGCAGCGCTGCGATGCCTGCCTCCCGGGCCCGGCGCGCCCGCCCTCCTCCGCTTCCTCCTGCGCCGCCGCCTCCGGGCCTCGACCGCGCCCCCCGCCCTGCGCCCCGACACCCCGGGCAGCCTCAGCTCCGGCCCATGGGCCGCCCCCCAACCGCGCATCCACCGGGGCCCGGAGACCAGGGCCGCCGGGCTCCGACCGCGCGCCGCCGCCGCCGCCGCCCGGGTCCGCCGCTGCTGCCGCTGCTCCGTGGGGTCGAGTCGCTTCATGCAAATGTCCGGCTCTCTGCAAACTGGCCCCCGCCTAGCAAAGCCACCCGGCGGGCGCGCGGCCGGAGCCCCGGCGGCCGCGAGCTGGGGTTGACGGCGAGGCGAGCATCAAGCCCTCGCACCAGTTGCGCCTCGGGCTCTGCAGACGCCGGGGTGGGATCTCGCCGCGCGATCGCGCTCGGACTGGCACGCCGAGTTCCCCTCCCCTCCCTCCCCACCCTTTCACCGCACGTTCAGTTGTCGCCGCCTGGAACAGAGCTCCCCCTCCCTGTGGCTCCGCTCAGCTGCTTCTAGAATGAGTCGCCCCTCCCAAGCCCGGCGCTCGGGCAAACCCGCGCCTGCGGAGGGTTTCTCTGGTCCCTAGACGCGGAAAAGCGACCCCCCAGGACAAAGCCCCGGGACTGCAGCTGTCGCCGGCCGTAACTTTGCAGTCTCCCTCCCAGAAATGGAATTTTCTTTTTTCTTTTCTTTCTTTCTCTTTAATGCAGTGTGATCGATGTGCGTACAGCGAGCTCCGAGACACTTAGTGTCTTGCACACTCACGCTCGCACGCACACGCGCCCACATCCGCACGCTCTCCTTGGTGTGGTTGTATTACCTCATCTTCGTCCGCATCCTCAGCTGTCCGTCAAGGATGCAGAGCCACGCCCCCTGACGACTGGAGCAGGTGCCCTGGAGCTCACGCGCTCCCTGCTGGCCTAAAGAGACGCGTGCCGGCCGCTGGCCACACACTAGTTAGATCAACTAACTGGGCCTCTCTGCTTACGAGACCCAGTCCAAAGGGATGCGGCAATTTGAGAGGTGACGGATTAACACTGTCTATGGTAGGGAGCAAATGTGGTTTTTCTGGCCTGCTTAGACGTTACCAGAATCAAGAAGACACATGCTAAATTGATTTATTTTGCAGGATTTCTATGACCGAAATAATGAGACACTAAGACAGACACAAGCTAGACTTGGTTGTTTTGGTCATCAATAGTCAACGTGGAAAATAATCTAAAATGGGTGCGTTCTGACTAAAAAGGTAGATTGACATCGGGCTTACATATTAATCTTGCCAGAAAACACAAACTTTGTTTTGCTAAAGTTGCAGCTACGTAGGACAATGAATTCATACACTCAAGAGCCAGGATAGCATATAGAAAAATAAAAGTAGACTATGTGTTAGGAACCGGGATTATGAACCTTTCTGAAATAATCGTTTTCTTTCATAATATATGATCTCTTTTGCTTTGGAAGATTTGCTTCCCCTCCCTGTTTCTTGCTCTCTCTTGAATTATACCTGTCCTTTCTCCCATCACTCGTTCTTTCCAAATCTTTTTCACCCCTCTACCTTTATTTACCTCCCTCCTCACTGAGTTCTAAGTACAAAATAAAAGGAAAATATCAAACATGCTCTTCTTCGGCCTCCAAAAGCACCAGGCTTGAGGCTACTCTGAGCTTTGTTCTTGCTGGTCCCCTTGCCCAGAAATCTCCCCAGGGTGACCTCCAGAATCTCCAGTAAACCTCTTCCCTAAGGCCAGTCTCCCAATCCAACCCAATCAACACCATTCATTAAAACATGGAATTTTAGGGTTTGAAGGACAAAAGGAAAAGGAGTTAAGGCTACCTCAGTTAATCCTAACAAGAGTCACCATTTTTCCCATGTTATAAATGACAAGGCTTAGGGAATTTGAGCAGTTTGCCCCAGTTACATGTTTAGCAGAGGGGAAACTGGTATCCAAAAATTAGTTGGGCAAAAAAACCCAAACCAAACCAAACAAACAAGCAAACAAAAAACTCACCTTGTTCCATAACGCAAGTTACACCTTGTTCCATAACGCAAGTTATGTGATGAGGAGATGGTGTGATAAGAGGCAAGACATATGGCAATGTAAAAGTGCCTCAGTGTGAAAGAAAGGAAGGGAGAAAACGAGGATAGAGTGTTCTGAGAGGACACAAGTAGAATTGAAGAAAAGGTCATGTAGGGCTTCCCTGGTGGTGCAGTGGTTGAGAGTCCGCCTGCCGATGCAGCGGACACGGGTTCGTGCCCCGGTCTGGGAAGATCCCACATGCCGCCGAGCGGCTGGGCCCGTGAGCCATGGCGGCTGAGCTTGCGCGTCCGGAGCCTGTGCTCCGCAGCGGGAGAAGCCGCAACACTGAGAGGCCCGCGTACCGCAAAAAAAAAAAAAAAAAAAAAAAAATTAAAAACAAAAAAAAAGGTCTTGTAAATTTGTATTGAGCTCTTTTTACTTCCAATCAGGAGACCAAGTGTATGAAGGCCCTGGAAACTCTCTTGTGGTCTGGGAGGTACAGATCCAGAAACTATAAACTATCAGTAACGACTGAAGGGGAGGCTGGAAGTACCATGGAGAAAACAGCATCTGACCAGCTAAACCAGAAATTCCCAAGTAGAAAAAGCCTAACCCTGCTAAAAGGGGCATGCTCTATGGGTGCTCAAAAGGAATGTGTATTCTGTTGTTGAGTGGAGTGTTCTATAAATTTTCATGAAATGCTATTGGTTGATGACTTTGTTTCATTCTTCTTTAGCCAGGCTGACTGTCTGTATAGTTGTTCTATAAATTATTATTATTATTATTTTTTGCAGTACGCGGGCCTCTCACTATTGTGGCCTCTCCCGTTGTGGAGCACAGGCTCCGGACGCGCAGGCTCAGTGGCCACAGCTCACGGGCCCAGCTGCTTCGCGGCATGTGGGATCCTACTGGACCGGGGCACGAACCTGCGTCCCTTGCATGGGCAGGTGGACTCTCAACCACTGCGTCACCAGGGAAGCCCTCTATAAAGTTTTGAAAGAGGTGTATTGAAGTCTCTAACTACAACTGTGGATTTGTCTACTTCTTTTAGTTCTATCAGGGTGTGCTTCACCTTTTTTTTGCCACTTTGTTGTTTGTGCTTTGCACATTTTAGATTGCTACATTGTCTTGGTAGATTGATCCTTTTATCATTATATAGTATCCTTCTCTGTGGTAATTTTCTTTGATCTGAAGTCAACTTTATCTAATATTAAGATAGACACATGTTTTTCTTTTATCCATGTCTTCGTGATGTATATTTTTTCCATCCTTCACCTTCAATCTGCCTATGATGTTCAATTTGAACTGAGTTTTTTTGTAGACAGTTTATAGCTGGGTCATGTTTTAATCTACTCTGCCAATCTCTGCCCTTTAATTGGTGTACTTAAACCATTCGCATTTAATGTAACTATTGATACATTAGGGCTTAAGTCTGCCCGTTTATTTTTTGTCTTCTGCCTGCTCTGTCTGTTTTCTTTCTCCTGCAGGTTACTTGCACATTTTGAAGATTCCATTTTGACTTATGTATAGTGTTTTTCAATGTTTCTTTTTGAATAGCTTGTTTAGACGTTGCTCTAGGCATTACACTATATATTTACAATATCACAATCTACTAATGTAGTCATTTTGTCAGTTCAAGTGAAGTACAGAAATCTTACTTCCCTTTAACTCTTTTTACCCTCCCCCATTTATAATTGCTCTCTATACATTTAGGACCACATCAGTGTTACGTTCTGTCGGCTGATTATTTTTTCCCAGTTAGTTGGCTCTCTTCTTTTTCCTGCAGTGTTATATAGTGCCTCCTCACCGTGATGTGAATAATCTTCTGAAGTTAAGGCAAATCAGGTGGGACAGTCCTGATTTGATTGCTGTTTCCAGATATGTATTCAACTGAGTCACTGAGATGAGAAACAAATTTGGGTTACTTTAACTGGAGTGCAGCTGCTTATCAGTTTCCCAAGGCAAAGAGCATGGTAGAATATATTTTCCAGAAATGCCCTCAACAATATTTCTGGCCCCATATGCTCTTCCAGAACATTGTCACTCCTTTATGAAGAGGTTCCATCTGTGGGATCCTTAGCTGCGTTGTCTAATAGGGCACCACAATAGAAATGACATTATCTGACATTCAGGGGTAGGTTATAAAAGACAATAAAGTGTAAAAGTCAATATGGGATTTCAACTTCTGGGAAGAAGAAGAAGTAGACACACTTTTCCCTATGACTCTAGCGAAGTACAACTAAAAAACCTGGCAAACCATGTGAAGACTCTGAAAGTTGGAGGAAAGACAGATCATTTAGGGACCTTGGGACCCAAGGAACAAAATGGTGGTGTTTCCCTAGTTTTCCTTTTGCCTCCTATACCCAAGACTTGGATTGGAAGAAGCCAGCAACTTGGAAATGCCGTGGGCATGGACCCAAAATGAACAAACACAACGCGAAAAGCCTACTCTCTCTAATCAAAAAACCAAAGAAAGGGGCAGCATAGCAAAGCTGAAAACTTTTAAATAGTAACCACTCTACTCTAGCCAAACCGCACAGAAAAACTGTGGTCCCATCCCCACCAGTGACCACAAAGGCTGAGTGGGGAACCTATGTCCTTGCCAGGCTGTCATGAAACACCCCAATGCCACCAGCTCCTTGCTGATTTTCTCCTTCTGTTTTGACAGCTGAGTGACACATACATGTTTTCACTTTCATCACTTTTAAGCTTGCCTTTACTTTTCTTGCGTTTCATGTAGCTCGTATCCAAAGCAGTGGTTAATTTCTCCTTTTAAGGAGTTATCTGCCCTTTGGGATTTTCCTCAGATGAATATAATCCTTGAATGTGAATGCCAGTCATCTTTCTTGAACTTCTCCTGAAGCCTCTCTGACCAGAAACAGAAAGATTTCTTTGCGAGTACCTGACTTACCTTAGTTGTCTTTGGAGTCCTGAAAGTAAATACTTCACAGATCTAAATTCCTAAAGCAACTGAAACTTTTGCTTCTATTTTGGTACACGATGTACAGTTTTTTTCTGTGCAAAGTTCAGAATAAATCTCAAAACCTGGTGAATAAAATCTGATCAGAGTTGGACGTGGGACCTAAACTACAGACTAATATCCTATCACAACCTCTGTTTCAGGTAGGGTTCTCTAGAAAGCCAACTCTGAGACAGAGCTTAGTGAGCAGAATGTTTATAAAGGAGCATCCTTTGGCTTAATACCTAGGAAGGAAGGAAGGAAGGGAAAAGGGGGCAAGGATTGGGCAAAGGGAGCTGCGCTGGAATGCAGGTTCTGTGGGCAATAAAGCATTAATTGTACCCAAAGAAAGATTTGGCCCTTTGCCCTTGGCTCCTGGGAGGTAACCTCTAAGCCTTTGGAATGTCCTGATTGATAAGAGTGTCTTTGTTTAACCTGGCGGGCTTGGGCCATGACAGATAGTTTATACTAACACAACATGATATATGGTAGAGGACTTAGGGCACACAATATCAACTTGACATTTGGAGGGGCTGGCGACGAAGGTCAGCCTCATGGGTGGTCAATCACATCTACATGACAAGCCCCTAATAAAAACTCTGGACTCAAAAGTTTGGGGAACTTCCCTGGTTAGCACTACTCATGCATATTGTCACAGGTCATTGCTGGAGAAATAAAACACAAGCCACACAAATCCTCTGGGTAGGGACAGACAATGGACAGCTCCACACCTGTTCTCTCCCTATCGTCTGTCCCTTTGATGATTTTTAAAAATTAATACACTTTATTTTGGGGGCAGTTTTAGGTTTATAAAAATGCTTAGTGGAAAATACATTTCCATGTATCCCATCAGTGCCCTACCCCTTCAGTTTCCCCTAATATTAACATCTTGGGTTAGTGTGGTACATTTGCTATAATTGCAGAGCAAATATTGATACATTATTATTAATTAAAGACCACATTTTCCATTAGGGTTCACTCTTGGTGTTGTAAATTCTGAGTTTTTATATAGAACCCATAGAACATGGGTAGTTGTAGCTGATTACTGTTTTAAGTTGCAGTTTTCTAATGACATGTGACATTGAGCATCTTTTCACCTGCTTATTTGCCATCTATCTTTGGTGAGACGTCTGTTAAGATCTTTGCCCATCTTTTTAATAGGGTTATTTGCTATCTCGTTGTTGAGTTTTAAAAGTGTTTGTGTATTTTAGATAACAGTCTTTTCTCAGATGTGTCTTTCACAAATATTTTATCTTAATCTGTGGCTTGTCTATTCATTCTTTCTCTTTCTCTCTGTCTCTCTTTCTCTCTTTAAAGTAACAGGAGTTTGCCCCAGCTAGCCTGCTGCAGGTGCCACAGGGCCCAAGAGTGACAGGAAGTACCTCGTGTCCCAGTGCTCAGGCTTACATGGACTTTCTCCAACCTTGCCAGCACTTACCTTTGCACTGCATGGTGGTGGGGGTGAGGTGTCTTTCACAGAGCAGAACTTTTCAATTTTAACCAAGTCCAGCATAACATTTTTTTCTTTCCTTGGTTATGCTTTCGTGCCCAAACAAAGTTCACCTAGATTTTCCTTTGTTATCTTCTAGGAATGTTATAGTTACGTATTTTACATTTAGGTCTATGATTCATTTTGAGTCTACTTTTGTGAAAGGTGTATAGTATATATCTAGATTCTTTTTTTTGTTTGTTTGATTTTTTGGCATGGAGATGTCTAGTTGTTCTAGCACCTTTCGTGGAAAAAACCATCTTGCTCCATTGTATTCCTTTTGTTCCTTCATGGAAGATCAGTTGACTATATTTTGGTGTGTCTATTTCTGGGCTATGTTCCACTGATTTTCTTCTTTATTCTTTGACCAACACAACCCTATCTTGATTAGTACAGGTTTATAATAATAAGTAGTAAAGTCAAGTAGTCATAGTCTTCCAACTTTGTTCTTCTCCTTTAATATCGTGTTGGCTCTTCTGGGTCTTTTGCCTCTCCTTATAAACTTTAGTATCAGGTTGTTGATATTCACAAGATAAC